AAAAAAAAAAAAAAAAAAAGAAAAGTGAATATAAACATGTCCACTTATGGGTAGATATATTTAGAAATAATGTGGCCTACTAGTACATATTTGCACAGAGGCCTCTAATCTTCACATATCCTATAATAGTTTGAACAAATTTACAGAAACCACCAGGCCATTAGTGGTAGTTACAAACCGATTTAATATATCAAAATTTGAAAGAATACAACACCAATTTTAATATGAATTTGCGTTAATGAGAACTGAACAAAAGAAACAAAAATGTGATTATAAGATGACTGACACCAAGCCCTTGCATTGGACTTCCCATCTGCATTTGGGCAGAGACTCCTTTGGGTGAACTGCCAGGAATCCCAGCCAGCAGCCATGCCAAATGCTTCCCTGCACTTGACAGGAGACTCTTGTAAATAATGTACTTTACAGCAGCACCAAATGAAGTCCCTCTCTTGTAAATTAGGACTGGAGTTCTTGTGCACAGTTTGATATAGGAGACTTACCTCTTTTATTAAGGATGCCACATGGAGTGCAGTGAGAGGAGTTTGCTCTGCTGGTTTGACAACTACTGTGTTTCCACAGCTCAGGGCAGGCCCTATCTTCCAAATAAGCATGACCAACGGGAAATTCCACTAGAAAGCAATATATAACAATAGATTATTTGTATTGCTGAAAAGCACATTTGCTAATCTAAGTTCATATGACAACCCCCCTGCAGATATAAAATAATAATTATAGTACTTTTGTGTAATCATTTCATGTATTCTAATTAACTTCATTGCTAAAAGCAACTAGTAAATACTTAAAATGCTCCAAATAAACTAGATATGGGAAGGGAGTAGGAGAGGGCTCCAAAATTCAATCCAATGCTATCAATTTGAGTGCTTCTTATATCAAGAAGATAAAAATCACTGCATGGTTTGGTTTACCATTAAGCATATATTAAGTTATCTGTAAGTGTTTAAAAAGTATGAGTATTCCTCCAAACCCACAGATGATTTATTATAATTTGCTTAATTGTATCATTAGAAGCATTTATTTCTAGGACAAATATCTGTTAAAGACAAAGATATCCTGGGTCCAGAAACTAAGTGCTTGGGTTCAAATCTCAGCTCAATCACTACCAGCTATGTCAAGGCACACAAGTTACTTGCTCTGTGTGTACAATTGCATCATCTTTAAGTGATGATAATGGTCCTCTCTATGTCAGAAGGTTGTCATGAGAATTAATCAAGAAAATGGGTCAAGAGCTTAACACAGTGACAGGTTCATCATAGGCATACAGTATATATTTGCTGTTATTAGTATTTGAAGTTATGTAGTTTTCATAGATTTTATTGGAATTTTTGAATTAATGAGGAATTTCTCTAAAAATGTTGATACAGATACATTTCAATCTCATTGGAGTGAAAAATAAATAATAGGCGCTTCTTCATCTATAAACTTCAGGATGCTTGGCTATCTTTTTATTTGGCCTTTTGAAGTATGTCAGCTCAAGTGACATCATTTAGGTAGTTTTCCTGTTTGTTGAGCTTAAATCTTCACAATTCTGCTTAAAAATACTACCTTCTCTAAGAAGAATTTGGAATATCAGAGCCTCTTATCTTAAGGCTCAATATATTCCATGCAGTGCTCTCTAAATGCCTCTGGCATTGTTACTTCCATTTCAGTTTAAAAATATCTTCTAGGATTAGAACACTCTGGTTGGTACCATTCTCTGTAATGAGAAACCTCAATGAGGAGATAAAGAGTATCAGAGACTAGTGGATCCTGCAACATTTCATTAAAATGGTGACCCACAGCATATGTGACAATGAGCACTTTGTCATATATGTGTAAATCATGGCTCTTAAAAGGAGGACATTATACTTTTTAAAAGTAACCTACAGAGTAAAAGGTTAAAATTTGTTGATCCTGTAGTATTGAAATGCTCTCCAGAGATATACCAGGACATAGGTAGGTTTTTCAACTACCTCATTCATATCTAAGACATTTAGTCTCAGGGAGACCAGTTTCAACAAATCTTACATTTACTCCACATTTAACAAATACATAAGAATCCATTTGTGTTGGAGAAAGCTTAATTACTAAAGCTAATAGTATTAGAACTCTTTTTTCTTAAAACGAGAATTACATGAGAGAATAACTTACGGGAATAATTTGGCCACAAACACCAACAGGTTCATGTCTTGTATAAGTAAAAAAGTCTCCATCTGGAAAATGAAGCACACACAATCATATATAGACAAATGTTTTTTGACAGTTACAGAATGGTGGTTTAGGGCTTATGTGAGAGAACAGTGTAGACAATAATTAAAAAATCAAACATAACTCCAACTGTTCACAAAATGAAAATGAAGGCCTCAAATCATAATTTGGAATGACAGGAAGCATAAAATTGAGTTAGGTAAAAGCAAGGATGCAAAATTGGAAAAGATCTGAAAAATAATTCTATCTTTCCTTATCTAATAAGGGCTGATTTCTAAATCATCCTTCTCAAAGTTTTATAAAAGAGGAATGAGAAAGGAAGTAGGAAGTCTCCAGCTAAGAGAACCACATTCAGATGTGGTTCTGATAGCTCAAAGTGCTATCAGTAACAGTAACATTTTATTTGTAAAAGTAATACAATTTAAAAAAAAAATAGTAAAATTAAAACAGAGGAAAATTTTAAAAATCTCCCTATGATTAATAATCCTTTCCTATTTGTTCTAACATACTTTTTTTCTATTTGCCTACCAAACATTAAAAGCAAATTCTCTTAATCCATGAAAAAAAATGTGAGAAGTAAAAGACATTTCTTTTCAATCTAGATATGACTGATTCACGTGCTTCAAAGTTTGAGGTGGTCATTCCGAGACTTACATTGCGCTTTGTGCTCAGTTCTGCTTTGGTGCAGAAACCACCTGGCTTCAGTAAGAACTCTCTTTATCGAAATCTATTTGTGCTTTAAATGGTTTCTACTATATTGTCCCCAAATGAAGTGAGACAGCCATTAAAATAGTCACACTTCTTGGCACCACCATGGTTTCACTCTTCTCTTCTTATTTCCTGGCTACCACTTCTGGCCTATCAGATGTTCCAAGTAGATTGGAAATACACATCAGGGCCAGTGCTGGAGGGTGCTGTATTCCTCACGTCAATAAATTTACGTGAATTAAATTCTACCAACAGTGTTTCCTAAAGCGATGCTTTTTATGTTTCATATAAAGTGTTTTTCATATTTCTACCCAATTTTGTACATACTTCACTACACACATACACATTCATGCACATGAATCCTTAACTCAGGCTATAAACACAGTTCCTTCTTGCTTTGAAGCTGTTTGAAACAAATCAATGTGAATTAGTTTGTTTAATTAGCCTGGTCTAACTGTAGTGAGTTTGACCAGGCACAGATGATCACAACTGACTCATACTGGACATGCGAAGAGGTATAAATAATTACATTATAGAAAGGGTAAAAATATCACTATTGGCATAAAACCCAAATAAATAATTTCAGAGGCCAGATTTAAAAAGTATGGGCCCTCAAAGAGACAATTCCCCTCCAATCAGTAATTGTGACCATAACAATGTTCTCACTTTAGTATTTTCTAAAATATCCATAGTGATATCTTGTGTGTGATTATGCTGAAACAATGTTAAAATCCATTTGATGAATCTTAACAGAACTTCCAGGTTCAGAGCTGTGTTGTCTCAAAGTCTAGGGGAAAACAATTTTGCCATACTGGGTTGACACCTTTAAAAGGAAAGTTTAAAATTATTCAGCTCTATAGTAATCTCCTCACTGTTACTCCCACCTCTAGTGGTTTCCCAAAGCTACTCACCAGCTGGTATTGTACGGCCCTGGACCTTGTCAGCCCAGCCTGCACAGTAGCGTAATGTTTTTATGCAGCCTCCTAAATCCATCAGGTATGCATTGGAAAATAGTTTTCCACCATTCATTGCTTCCATTGTCTGAAAAACAGATCAAAACCCAAATCTAAAATTCCGCAAAAATTTTAGATTGAACAAAATATATAGCCCATATTTTGAATAATCATGTGCTAGAGAATTTTGGAATTGGAAGAAATCTTAGGTCACCTTGTCTAACTTCCTCTTTTTAAAATGGAGACTAAAATAAAAGAGTTAAAATGACTTGCTTGAAGTCACATAGCAAGATCTGGGTAAGAAGGGTTGTGAGATTTTGGGTTCTAGAGACTAGTGCTTTTTTAAAAATCTCATTTTGAATGTCCTCCAGCTAACAAACTTTCTAGGAATCAGTCACAGTTTGATATATACACAGCAGGTGAGAATGGTACCCAGTTTTAGTCAGATCAGAGTTTCAACGAGATTTCACTTATTGTGTAATCCAATTCCGTGTGACAATTTAGTGTCAGTGACTATTAATGATGCTTCAATAATCATTTTTAATTTTTTCATTCCATCTGGATATAAGCAATCTATTCACACAAACTTAAGTAATACCTGGATTTTTCATTCATAATTTTCCTCAGAATTTTTAATGATGAAACTCCCAGTTTTGCTATTATTATTATAATTATCATTTGAATGGTCAGGCTATAAAGTTCATTATTTTCTAGTTTAGTGCCCTAACCATTACAGGATGACCTATCTCCTCTTTTCTTTCTCTTCTTAACCAGAACTTTAAAGAGCTCTTTGGGATATATTGTTCTGCTAGGGTAAGTACCTGGTAGGAATATCCCAGTGTTAAACTGTTGAAGCTGTCCTGTCTCTGTGTTACACGGTCTACCATCTTAAAATTTAATCAGACACGATTTTTCTATGATTGTACTTTTTTCCCCCATAGGACCTTATGCTGATGGGTAGTCAACAGATCAGATAAATGAGAGAAGCCAAGTTTAAGCAAATTATGCTTTCTTCCTAGAGGCCATTTTGGTTGATATAGTTTTATTGCCCATAGCTTTTGGTTCCATATTTTTGCATATTTTGAATTATGCTGAATCATCAGTTTAGTAATAAATGGTTCTTTGAGTAACTATAATTGCAAATGTTTATATATATATATATATATTGGTTCTTTGAGTAACTATAATTGCAAATGTTTATATATATATATATATAGCCTTCTTTGTAACTGCCACTTTAAGATTCTAAAGATAATAACATTTATTGGGTGTCCGGCGGGTGGGAGGGGGGAGGAAGGGCATGGGCAATATACGTAACCTTAACATTTGTACCCCCATAATATGCTGAAATAAAAAAAAAAAAGAAAAGAAAATATTCAAAAAAAATTTTGCTATGGAACTTGATCTTGGTATTGGTTTGTATTAAACTAGTTTCATTACATGCTCAACTGAGAAGACAAGAAACAAGGAAATATCCTCCCCAAGGATATTATGTGCTGATAATTGCTAACATATAAAGAAAAAAAGCATAATTTTTATAAACACATCAATGTTTAGGTTTTTTTTCTTTAAGCTTTGCCCTTTCACCTGCAAAGAAACATCATTTAATTATGATCCTTCCAAACAGACATTTCAGGAAAGGAAAATGTACCCATTTATTAAATACCTTGGTGGGCTAGACTAAAGAAAAATAAGATTTATTTTAGAGAAATATTTTGGGCACCTTTAACAAACAATCAAGTTTCTCACCTAAAAGGGTTCAGTGGTCAAGTACTTTAAGAAACCCAGATCATTCCAGGAGATTCACACTACATGTGACTTTGTTAAAGGCTTTGAGAAGTTCTAAGGTAAAGGAAAGTATTTTCTAATAATAATTTAGTATTTCTTTAATTTGGTTTAATTAATTTCTTTAATTTGGTCTAACCTGGGGTTTGCCAACATTTAGACTGTAGAATCTATTACGGGAGGAGAAATTAACATCATCCAGAACTGGAGTACAGATGAATATTTGAGAATAAACTCAATGGTAAGCTGGATGTGGAGGCTCCTACCTATAATCCTAGCACTCTGGGAGGCTGAGGTGGGAAGGTCACTTGAGCTCAGAAGTTCTAGATCAGCCTGAGAAAGAGAAGAGACCTGTCTCTCCAAAGAATAGAAAAAAATTAGCCGGGTGTGGTGGCGCTCGCCTGCTTGCCTGAGGCAAGAGGATTGCTTGAGCCCAGGAGTTTGAGGTTGCAGTGAGCTATGATGAAATCACTGCATGCCACCCAGGGCAACAGAGTGAGATTGTATTAAAAAACAAAAGCAAAAAAACCCTCAGTGGTAAGTGTCCTTTGTAAGAGCTGTGAGATAAAGTCTTTTCATTTTATTAGTAGAAAGCACATAGTGATCACTAAAACCAAAACAGCTTGCCAATTCAAACAATAAATGCTTTTGAGAGCTCTATCTACCTATTCAGTTTGGTTAATACTTACTGCCAGCAAGAGACGATCTCTCTCAATTAAATCAGCCAGTTTGTATAACAGTCGTCCCCTCTCTGAAGCATCCATGGTACGCCATGGAGAGCCGATCTGAAAAGCCTGTCTTGCGGCCTTTACTGCTATTTCAACATCCTCCTGTAAGTCAAAAAAATTTAATTTAGTAGGCTGAACATACTGGATCAGAAAATCCAATGGCAATAACTCAAACTGAAGCTCCTTATAAACAGGCTCTGTGTATCCAATAGCCTAAAGTCTAGCACATTGTGCACACTTCACTACACCATATTGGAGTTACACTTGCTGAATAATCTTTAGAATGATGAGCTCCACACATTTTGCATATGCTTGATTTCCTAGAATATAAATATCATAGTAATAGTTGCTATCATTTGCATGCTTGCCATATCTCAACCAATGTTCTAATAACTTTACACATAGTAACTCATTTAATTCTCAGTCATTATATGGGACAAACATGTTCCTCATTTTATGGATGAAGAAACTAAAGCAAAGAGAGAGAGAAGCTTTGCCCAAGGTCAGTAACTAAAGCTTTGCCCAAGGTCAGTAACTAAAAGTGGCTGAACTGAGTTTATTTATTTATTTTAGACATGAAAACTTTATTTTATCATCAAAATATACCTAAGTAGTTAAAAAACATGACTCTTAAATAAACTTATGCCACAGATCTTATTTAATTCACTATTTTTTTCTAAATGATATATACATATATATATAATTTTATTTCAGAATATTACAGGGGTACTAATCCTTTGGTTACATAAATTGCCTTTGCACTGCCAGGGTTAGGTATGAGTTTACCCCTCCCATCTGCTCAACCCTCAGTGAATGTTACTTCCATATGTGCATATAAATTTTGATTGATTAGTACCAATTTAAAGGTGAGTACATGTGGTGTTTGTTTTTCCATTTCTGTGATACTTCTCTTAGAATAATGGGCTCCAGTTTCATCTAGGATAATATGAAGTAGTTCACCATTTTTTTATGGCTGAGTAGTAGGTATACCTATACCACATTTTATTAATCCACTCATATATTGATGAGCAAGTATGTTGTTTCCCCACCTTTGCCATTGTGAATTTTGCTGCTATAAACCTTTGAGTGCAGATGTCTTTTTTATAGGATGAACTTATACCTATCCTGAAAAAGTTATTCCACAACATTGAGAGGGAAGGACTCCTCCCCAACACGTTTTATGAAGCCAATATCACCTTGATACCAAGGCAATGAAAGGACTCAACCAAAAAAGAAAACAACAGACCAATATCCCTTATGAATATAGATGTAAAAATTCCTAATAAAATCCTAGCAAACCAAATTCTGCTGCTCATCCAAAAAAAATCCATCACAACCAAATGGGCTACATCCCAGAGATGCAGGGAGGGTTCGACATATGTAAATCTACAAGTGTAATTCACCACATAAATATAAGTAAAAACAAAGACCATATGATTCTCTCAATAGATGTAGAAAAAGCATTTGACAAAAGTCAGCACCCTTTTATAAGAATGCTTAACAAAATAGGCATAGATGGGATTTACCTCAAAATAACAAAAGCCATATATGACAAACTCACAGCCAATATCATACTGAATAGGATAGGGAAAAACTGAAAGCATTCTCACTTAGAACTGGAACCAGATAAGATTGCCCTCTATCAGTGCTTCTATTCAACATAGTGCTAGAAGTCCTACCCAGACCGATCAGACAAGACAAGGAAATCAAGGTGAACCAAATGGGAGAATAAGATGTCAAACTATTGTTCTTTGCTGCTGATATGATCTTATATCTAGAAAACCCCAAAGAGTCTGCCAAGTCTTGGGTTACGAAATAACATACGCAAATCAGTAGCATTCTCATACACCAACAACAGTCAAGCTAAGAACCAAATGAAAGACTCAATACCTTTCACAATAGCAAAAGAGAAAATAAAATACTTAGGATCGCTACTAGGTATTTTAACTAAGGATCACCTCTACAGAAAGAACAATGAAACACTGAGGAAGGAAATAGCAGAGGACATAAACACATGGAAAACCATACCATGCTCATGGGTCGGCAGAACCAACATTGTTAAAATGTCTATAGTATCCAAAGTGATCTATAGAGTCAATGCAATCCCTATTAAAAAACCAACATCAATTTTTGCAGATCTAGAAAAAATAACTATATGTTTTGCATGGAATCAGAGAAGACCCTGTATAGACAAAACAACCTTAAGTAAAAAGAACAATCCATGAGGCATCAATTTATCAGACTTCAAGAAATACTAGAAAGCTATAATAACCAAAAGAGCATGGTTTGGGCACAAGAACAGAGACATAGTCCAATGGAATAAGATGAGAACTAGGATGTAAAATCATCCTCATATTACTATCTGATCTTTGACAAAGCAGACAAAAAGATACACTGGGGAAAGAATCTCTATTCAATAAATGGTGCTGGGAAAATTGGATAGCTACATGTCGAAGACTGAAACAGGATCCACATCTCTCACCACTCACAAAAATCCACTCATGATGGATAAAAGACTTAAACCTAAGGCATGGAACTATAAGAATTCCAAAAGAAAGTGTTGGAAAAACTCTTCTAGACACCAACCTAGGGAAAGAATTTATGAAGACTCTAAAAGCAATCACAGCACAATAAAAATAAATAAATGGAACATGATCAAATTAAAAAGCTTTTGCACCGCCAAGGGAATTATCATTAGACTAAATAGATAACCTACAGAATGGGAGAAAATATTTGCATGTTATACATCTGATAAAAGGCTGAATCTATATAGAACTCAGGAAAATCAGCAAAAAAAAAAAAAAATCAAACAACTCCATTAAAAAATGGGCAAAGGACATGAACAGAAACATTTCAAAAGAAGAAAGACTAATGGCCAACAAATATATGAAAAAATTCTCAATGTCTCTAAATGCAAATAAAAAGCACAATGAGATATCACTTAACTCTAGTGAGAATGGCTTTTATCAAAAAGTTACAAAACAACAAATGCTGGTGTAGATGTGGAGAGATAGGAACACTCATACACTGCTGGTGGGATTGCAAACTAGTACAAGAGATATCTCTACAGAAAGTATATGGAGATACCTCAAAGAAATAAAGGTAGAACTACCAGTTGATACAGCAATCCCACTACTGGGTATTTACCCAAAGGAACAAAAATGAACTGAGTTTCAAATGGAGCTTATCTCACTGTAGAGTCTTTGCTTGCTCTTCACCACACATTACACTACTTTGGTGATTCGGTTATAGGAATTCCGGGCTAAGCTCAAGATCCAAAGTAGTGAATATCTTCTTTGATCTCTGTTGACTCTACAGCCTGTCCATTCTCGTGAATGGCCTATTAAAGAGTGAATAAGAATTTTTCTTTGCTGTGGAAGAGTAAATATTATAAACATGTGCCGATTCCTTTTGTGCTGAGGGAAAAGGCACAGAGAGAGTGGACCTGGTATATGGAAAGGTCTTCAGGGGGCAGCCCCGCATTTCCGACTTGGAAACAAAGAGATCTTTTTAATCACTAAATAGGTTAAAAAAAAAAAAAGTCATTTTTCTACTGTTAATAATGCATTACTTCAAACTACATTCATCCCAGCAAAAGTCAAATAGTAAAGTGATTCCACACTCAGTCTACCCTCCTTGACTCCCTCTTGAATTGCCTCCCTGTAAGCTCTTTCTTCTTTCCTGTGTTTTTCTACACCAGGTATCTCCTCTGGTTCTTTCCTAATCCACCTCAGTAATATGGCCGTGATCACTCCATTCCCCTGAAGCTCTTTGTTCAGACCTCTTCTGTGCTCCACAGAATATATCTACTATAGGAATCACCACCTCCCTCTTTCATTACTACTTCCTAAGTCCTTTTTTTCTCCATCAAATCAGTTGCAAGCACCTTAGAGGCATAGATCATTTCAATGTTATTTGCACATAGGACTGGCCACTACATGAAACTATGCATGCTGTATAAATCATGACATCATAGCCCAGTAGCCTGCAAATTTTTGCAGAAGACATAATTCCCTTTGAGAATTGGTATGGGGAGGAGTTAATTATTGTTTTAAGTTGCACAAAATTAAGCTAAATCCCAACCAAAAATGTCACCTCCCCCTTGGAGAGGCATGGACCTCAAAATAATATTCCCCTCCTCAGGCTATATTCAAAATGCCCCAAACTTATAGGTCTATAAATTAAATAAAATTTCAATGGTATTTCTCAACAAAGTAAGAAGATCTGGAGTAAGAAGGATGTTTTAGAACTGTAATCTCTTATGATTAATTGATGATATTTACTGACTACAAAACAAAGATTCTTTTCTTATAATACCTCACACACTGGTATATCTCACTGTAAAACTTTTGAGAGAATGATGAGTATATACAATAAAATACATGCATTTATTGCTTTCGTTTCCTGAGAAATATATATACATTGCATATTTGGGGCATTCAGTTAATCACATTGATTGCTTATATTTGGACATTGTTTCATGCCATAGGTTGTAACTTCTTCCAAGCTAAATTCAGAGAGCAATGTTTAAAAAAAATAATTTAAAAAAACAAGCCAGAAGAAACTGAATTGCCAGTATGATCTGTGGATACCATGGCCTATAAAATATATGCTGCTCTGTGTTTAAACAGATCTGTGTGACACAGCTTTCATTTGGATCTTCTGCTCAGTGTCCTGCCATCGGCCTTAGCCAAATATGGGATATTCTAGGCATCCTGGCCTCCCAAAGGGATATGGAGAAACTGGCTTCAAGACAAGTAACTCTGCCATATGGAAAACACATCCCTAGAGAATGTTGCTATAAATAAAGACATTCTTGTGCTTATGTCCTTTGGATCATGCCCTTCCTTTTCTTATATCTTATATTTATCTTACAGGAGCAGAAATAGAATAATGGTAGTTAACATGTAGTTTGGGAACAAAACAATCCAGATTTTAATTCTGATTTCTCCTTATTAGCCATGTAAGCTTTGAGCCATTTGTCTACACATCCATCTATCTAAAGATGTGATAAACATGCCACTCTGTAATATTCCTAACATCAGGCTGCTAATGATAGAACAATGAAGTAAGGAGAATGCCCTTTAGGAATATCCGATCAA